CCCCCCCCCCCCCCCGAAAAAAAAAATGAATTGTAGTATAAATAAATATACAAATATTTTTTACTTTGTGCTGATCTATTTTAATGACACAAAATTTTAGGGAAAACATTTATTGCATCTTTAGCTCGTTAAATAACAAGTTAGAACGTTTTAAAACTTAAATTTTATAATGCAGAATTAATTAAAAGGTTGTTAAAGACAAATTATCATTGTTTGTGGAAGTAAAAATATGATTATTGTCAGTAAAGCTACAATTGTAGCACAGTTTCTAGCTGCTATCATCTTCCCAGGGAGTACCCAGGTGTGGCTATATCGTAATAATGGGCATAGTCGGTGATTTATCATTTTCATCTTGCGGAACTGATATACTAGACAAGTCAACATCATCCTCATCTAACAATTCAGCACTTAAAATAGATGCATTGTCGGTGTGAGCAATAATTGCCATAAGCTCTCTCTGCCTCCTGGCAGCTACTTACATTAGTCGAATCCATTTTTGTTGAGGGGCAGGTGGTAATTTCTTATGCATTGTCGGTGCTGTGTAACTTGCTATTTCAACATGACTTGTGGTGCAAAATAGATGTTACAGATTTTGCAAATCCGTTGAAGCAGTGATGTTATTATTTTTAGTCACTTTACTTTCACCTAATTCTCAAAATATCGTATTCCTACTCTATCAATACCATTTATCTTGACCGCACACGACTCATTAACCCTGTCATTGTTCCATGCCTGCAACATGACCGCAAACATACCACCCTAGTCATTTGCGACAAATAGAATCTACAGTAGAAAAGATGCCAACTTTTGACTTCTCTTGCATTAACTGAATGTGCTAACATTCTGACCAGCCATCTCAGTGCACAGACAGACGCACTTTAAATAAATCTAATATTGTTAAAAGCCTAAAAATTATATAACTATTTTAATTTACACTCATTAAATGTGTTAAAATAATGTAATAACCATTCAATTTTAAAGATTAAAATTTTAATAGAAAAAACACGATTGTTGACGTCAACTAATCTAAATCCCCCTCCCCCTTGTCAACAATTGTCAAACATTTCAACCCCTACCCCTCTTATTTTTTAAACATATATTTATGGACGACCCCTTAATAAAAAAAAATATTTTAAAAATTATGATGTGATTTCTTCTTCTTCTTCTATATCTTAAGGGCCCACGATCAATTTATTGATCATTTTGGCTCCTATGCATGTAGATGGGATTTGCAATGTTTCTGTTACTGGTGGTGATGAGGAAATTATGCACTAGGAATTTATTGATCATTTTGGCTCCTATGCATGTAGATGGGATTTGCAATGTTTCTGTTACTGGTGGTGATGAGGAAATTATGCACTAGGGGTTTGAAGGCTTGAGGCAATAGACACAAATGTGTCTAGTGTTGTCGCCTCAACTGTTCCTTTTGAAAGATAACAATTAACATTAAGAAAATAAAATAATAAAATAAAAAAGACATCTATATTTATTAAAAATTAATTAAATTTACTATGACAATAAATAATAATTATAAAACTTTAAGTTGATTTGTTTCTATACTGTCTAGTTGTACTTTTAAGAAATCCTGAGGACCAATTTAAAATGAACATGTAATGAAATACAATTATTTACTTTTAGTGTTCTTAAATTTTAAAATATTGCTAGATGGAAGTATTAAAGCTGGAAAATAATCATTAGAACTCCGATTTCTCGTTCCTAATTTAGGTTACATTTTTATTTGAATATTACTTTTAAAATTATACTTTATACTTCATAAACAACACATATTGTGTGCTATTAGAAAATGCAATAAAATCTGCCCATGTCTGGTTTTTCTTGCAGACGAAAGACAATAAGTTTAAATTGGGTAGATATTTTGTTCATTTAACTAAAAATTAAGTTTTAACCAGAAAAGATCGTTAGAACGGGAAATTGTAAAATGTTTCAAACAAATATATTTAGATTATTTTAAGGTTGATTCTTTTTGAAGAGTTTTCAGTTTGTATACTCGATTAATGAGTGAATTAAAGTATACGACTGACCGAGTCAAGTCTCAGACGAGTTAGTACTAGTACTAGTAGACTAGTAGTCATTGTAGACTTATGTTAATTTTTAAATAATTCTATTCTATATATTATATCATGGCCTACTATTTTAAACTAAAAATTACTATTAAATATTTTAACTATGAATTTGGTTTATTTTATCAATGGTATATATTGTTAAGTAAAGTAATGATAAAGCTTATACTTATACTTCTTACTTATTACTAATACTATCACTATCATTTGTATCCATTTATTTTTAATAATGTTTAATACTTTTTAATTACTTTACTTAACTTAACTACTAAGACTTTATTTTAAAATTTTAATTAATTTACATTTTTTATTTAAAAAATACTTTCATTATTTAAATTATTTAAATTAAAATAATTAAAAATACTGTACAGTACATATTTTTTTTTTTAAAAGAAAGGAACATTTAAACAATTTTACAAGTAAACTTATTAAAGTAAAGCTAATTTATTAATTTTACAGATTATCCAGTTTTTATTTTGAAGAAGAAAAGGTAAAATAAAATAAATAAAATTTAAGATGACGGGGGATAGTAACATAATGAGTTTGCGAGCTCCACCTGATATAAAACATAAACACAATTGTTCGCCTATTATGACGTAAGTAAACTGTATTTGTAACTGTTTCTTTAATATCCTATTTTCTTGTTGCATGCAGTTATAGTTAGCATATTTTAATAGTTATAGTTATATGCTATTTTTACTGTCAGTAAAGACATGGTGCAGTTCATATAATTCTTTACAACACTTTACTTTTAATCTTTTCCTATTAAAATAATTGGCTCATACAAGTGAAAACGCAAAGAAGAAACTGTAAAAACTAACTTTAAGCATTCTTTGCGTGATATGGATGCGTCGGGCGCTTTCTGGCCCATTACGGTAGTAGCAAAAAAAAAGGGTGTGGGGCAGAAGGTCGCATAAAATTATTGTAAAAACTCGAATTAACGTGGGGTCCCCTCCACTCCACTATATATGTGAATCTAAATTAATAATGTTTAATCACTATAGGCATCACATATTTGACTATGAGTACACTGACGATAACACTGTCAAGTTCGAATGTCTACTGAACCATCACTACGTGTCTGGTGAGCTCACTAGTACGTGCTTAGATAATGGAACATGGACCAACCCTAGTGGGATTGTCTGTGAAGTGGATTACTACATGTAAGTATTGAAATGATTGTTTCAGATCTACCCGACTAACAAAATTATCGCTGGACCCTTTAACGTTATCAGTTTCCCGAAAGCAGTAGCAATACAAGATACAACTATTTCGTCAACATAAACATTTTCGTTTGTCAATGTACCTGTTTGGGTGCAACATAGCTCATAGCAATATGACTAAATATCCCAGAATACTGCAGGCCTCTACCTGTCATCTGAGACATTACTGGGGGTGATATTTTTATAGTTTAAAAATTTTGCATAAAGTGTCTTAAATAGCTTAAGTCTAAAACGAAAGTAGATCAAACATCTTCAAGTAAACAAGAAAAAACAAAATCGTAGATATGAAACAGTAAGATACTTGATTAGATTCAAATCAATGGAAATGTGTTTTGATTACATTGTACATTTTCATAAGTAATTATATCCAATCTTGACTATTTTCGAGTGGTTATCTGCAATCTCTCTTTCACACTTGTGTCAAACTCAAGGCCCGCGTCACACATCCGGCCCGCCGTACAATTATACCAGGCCCACGAGGTCTTGACCAGCGTATAATTATATTCAAGTTAACGCTAGGGTGTTTCCCAATGCACACTTTGTTGAAAAACTTAGCTTACTTTATTGACTTTCAAGCACATAAATGTAATTTCGAGCCGTTTAGTAACCCATTTGTTATAGACGTGGACACTGCACCTGTAAATTTGCAGATGGAGCTAACAGAACTGCATTTTAATGGGACACTAAAGGCAAAGTACGACACTGTTGACCTGCTCAGTTCACTCGTTTCATTCCGAAGAGATGCCCCCAGCCTTATCGAAATGCGGCTCGAACCATGAACATGTTGGGTAGCACATATACATGTGAGCAGTTGTTTTCTGTGATTAAGATTAACAAGATACCACACAGGAGTCGTCTCACTAATGAACACTTGCAGTCCATCATGAGAATCTCAATGACACAGAACGTTACTCCCAACATAACCGAACTTACTTGTTTCTGTAAACTTGGAAACGTGTCAAACATCCAGCTCTGACAAACTAGCATAGGAACGAAAATGGGCATGCCAATGATTTTTAATTATTAAACCTTTTTTTTTTCATTTGTATAAATTTTTTTTAAAAATATTAATTTCCCGCTTATTGAATGTTTATCCTGTTCGGCCCGCAACCTTACATATGATTTGAGTTTTTGCCCGCCAAGCGATTGAGTTTGACACCCCTGCTCTAGCAGGTCCCATGGGACAAAAATTCTTAACCTACTCAAAAGTGAGCAGTATATTAACATGGAAATACGCATGTTCGTCGAAGATATAACTTTATTTGACTCGATCCATTGCAAATCCACCTTTGCCCGTAAAACAGCTTGGGTTCGTAAACATGTTGCAATATAAACGAGATTGTTTATTTTTTCACGTTTACACGCACAATTAATACCTGGCAACCCTTCCAATTTTGTCGGAACTATCCGGATTATTTACCTTCTCATTCCGACCTTCCAACAAACTCCTAAAAAGTCCGATTTTCCGAATATTATGATTTTTTCACCCGTCATAAAAAATGCGGAAGGGACAAAAGAACAAACAATCAAAGACAAAACAATCGGTTACGACAGGAAGTGGTGCATTTCGATGATGCCACTTCCTTTGTTTTTACTGAGTGTCTACATGTCCGGCGACCGGGCGAATACGTTCTCAAGATATTCGTCCCGCTATTATATTTTCGACCACGTCACATGACCGCCGCAACAAAATTGTGCGAGATAATTGTCCGTCAGCCTCGTTACGTGACCGCTAATAGTCGATCAGAGTTTACGGTACTTCATTTCAACACATTCAATATAGTCTGGGCATTAACATGAAAAAGAAATACGTTCATTTCTACAATATAAATACTAGAACCATTGCTGGTATATATAATGTACAAATGGTTAAAATGTGACAATATTAAAATGTGACATGCCCGCCGGATGAATAAATCCGAAACCATTTGTTAGGTCACCAGAGACACTGTCTTGTTTTTATCGAAGCGAACCGCGACCTCCAAATCATTTTTCAATCGTCAATTGATCCGATCGGCATTCATCCTTTTACTAGGCTAAAAAATAATTCAGTTGTGTTTTTTTAAGCTTTTCTTAATTAAATGAATAAATCTATTGAAAATGGTCGGTACAATGATATTAATAACCATATTTTAACACCCCCCCAAAAAAAACAAAAAAAAACAACAAACAAACAACAAAAAAACAACTGCAGAAAAGCAGGTGAATCTACCACATCCATGTCTAATCAGATCGGAAGTTTTTTTTAACGGATTCTTATAGAAGGAAATATTTATCAAGCCAACTCCGATCGTTTTAATGCCAGAGTCAAAGAAATGTTTCCAGACTCCCGGATTGCTAGAAGATTGTAAATAAAAATTACAATGAAACAAAGGCAAGCATGAAAGTTGATACTCGTTCTAACTTGTTTGTAACTAAAAATACCATCAGTTGTAATTCTAGCCTTCTATTGTCCATAGAGCTGTTACGCAAGTGCAAAAACGGCCACTAGGGATATGTTGGAAAACTCAATTTAAAACTGAACTATTAGCAGCCTGTGTACATATGTAAATAAAATGGATATTCTGTTCTGTATATATCTGTAGGCCTATATAAACATTTCCTTATAATTTTCGTTGATAAAATCAAAAAACTTTTAAACTAATCATAAGTCTAACGTGCGGGTCGACAAATGTACTTCGGCCTGCGGTCCGTTCTAGAATATCGTACCAGCAAACTTCATTTACAGCAGGCTATGAATAATGCGCTGCCCACTCTTTAGCTAAAATTTTCTGTTGTTTACAAGGAGTTGCAATCATCCCCACAAATTTTCAAATATTTTGTACATGGTTTCACAGTCACACAAAGATCACTCATTGAGTTGCTTATAGCCTTTTTTCTGGCTCATCTCTAATTGTAGAACCAATACTAAAGAAAGCATTCTCTGAAGAGTCGATTTTAATTTTTTTTTTAAATTTAAGTTTAAAGAGAATGCTGATGCACAGATAATTGCGTTTGACAAACATTTATTTCTCAGAAGAATGAATTGGTATACTATAGAAATAATTTCCAAATAATGGCATCTGAATCGCAGCAAACTGGCCGATTTAGTTAGCAGTAAACATGCAGTTTTCGCATGAAACTATTTAGTAAAATCATATCATGCAAACATAATTTGATCCATTATGTTATGATATATATTACATAAAGGATAGAATTGTGAAAATCGATATATATAGCTTGACATACATCATGTTGATACCCCATCCAATCAGGCAACGTTACCGGTTAGCTGCATTAATAGTGGCCATAACCGTCGTGTTCTCAGCTGTCTTCCTGGGTTATGACTTCATCACCTATAGATGTCACTAGTACGTCCTGATATTTCATTGGTTTTTTTTTTTTTTTTGTTTGTTATATCTGTTTTTAATATTTTAAATTACTTTGTATAACCGATTTCATGTCACATTCCTTGTTCCATTGAAATAGGTTGTTTGTTTTTTTGTTTTGTTTTTAAATTTAATTTATTTTTATATCCTGTTTATAAATGTTTCTGTGTTTTTTGTTCGTAAAATTCTAGACAGACGTGTTCTATAATTTTGTTAAAATTAATTATCTTCTTATTGTAAATGTAAACTGCCATTTATGTTAGGGGTTCAACAATTTTTTTAAAAAAATGTATATATATATTTATTAGCATATCATCTCTTTGATTGTAGACTATATGATTACGGGTGATTGGTTTGCACTGTAAGTAATAATTGACCAAAAAGTAATCATAATCAGCTAGTAATTTAATTTATAAAAAGCCTTGCATAATATAACACTCTAGCTCTGATCTTTTTTTACAACTTCATTATGAAAGTTTAGCAACCAGCCGGGTGTCATTGTGTGCAGTGTTTCTTTCAGAAATTTTCTCCCTGAAGGGCACTTTAGATTTTCGGGTGGGGGGAGGGGGCCACCAGATTTTTCGGGGGGGGTGGCAGTGCCAGCAGTTCCAGTTGATTTTTTGTTGGATATATTTTTGCTCAGGGGGGGGGGGGGGGGGGCGGGCCCTTTGGTTTTCCCCCCCCCCCCCCCCCCCCCCCCCCGAGATATAGCTGAAAGAAACCCTGATTGTGTGTAAAATATCACAAGAATGGTAGGTAACAGCGTAGCAATGATCTGAAGCGTCATAACCAGAAATAACATGTAATCATTTTTTTTTTAATGTTTTTTCTTTAATTCTTTATTGGATTTTTGTCAATTCAAGTACTCTTATTTTTTGTATTTAGTGTCCGACTACGCAAAACTTATCGCGCCCGACTTTATGCACAGGGACCGCTAGCTATTTTGTAAGTATACTTCCATATACATAGGATACTTTTTCTTATTTAACATTATCTCTACTATGGTGATAACGGTATGCCTTTTTTCCCGTTGGTCGACATAGATTGTCTGTTCTGAAATATACTGAATTTTTCCACCTCTCTCTTTTTTAAATATCTCCTGCAGTAGTGTCGAAATCTGACCATTCATGTGTTTCCGATACCATGAAAAAAGCTACTGTTAACTTTTTAGGTCATAAAATGTATCACAGCCACGGTGATGGGTAAAGGATGATTAAATCAACGTATTGAGACATTTACTTTTAGGTCTTTTCGGTCGATCCTTACATAATTGTCATTAGTCACCATGAAAATAGTTCTTTTATAGTGGTGTATTGTATGTTAACTTTAAAATCTAAATGCCAGATGTAAAAACGAGTATATTAAAGATGAGATGTGTATAGAGCAAGATTTCTCGGCCTGTGGTGCTCACACCAAGTGGCACGTGGTGGCATTTCAGTAGGTGCGAGGAAAGTTGGTTATGAGTACAAAGGAGAGACATTGTATAGCGTTTGAGATGTCATATGAATATGTATTCATTTTTAAAGAAATTTCTTCATTAACATTTTCCTTAATAGAGTACGTCACACAAGTTTATTATGAAAGTGTTACCGTTCTCTTTGCAATTCAATAATAAATGAGAAGTCCATTATTTTCAATTTTTATAATGGATTGTTATGTGTGTAGGGGGCACGAGACTTTTTTAAATAATTAAAAGTGGTTGCGAGCATAGTCAAATAATTCGTAGAACTGCATAGTATAGAAAAGGTGGGGAAAAACTGGTATAGCAATTATACACCAATAATAGACATATGTTTATTACATATCTCACCTTAATTTAAATTCATAAATAAATCTATAAAGGTGTGATGGAGCTATTTACCTGATACAGCACAAAACATTTTATTTGACGAGACCAATTTAGTTTATATATATATATTTAGTTTTAGTGTTCGGAGTTTATCATAACAATTCTTTACATAGGAAAGAGTCCTACTGTGGTGTGATAATTAAATTTTTCAGTCAATTGTTCTTTGAATCAATGTTTAATTTTTTATGAGTATTTTTAAGATAACCCATAATAAATTGCATTACATTTTTGTTGTTGTTGCTTTACCCAATTTTATTAAATGTTTGTTTACATTCATCTCTTCCTCCCCCCTCCCCCCGTCTACTCTGGATCGATTGTTGGTGTTTCTAAGTGACTTTGAAAAGTCAAGAGCAAAGGAAGTACTGACTGATCGTCTGTAAGTATCACTACTTGGTGAACGAACAGTGATACGTGTTGTTCGTTGCCCTTAGTTATCGTATCTGAAATGAATAATTCTATTTTCGGTTAGTACGCAGGTAACTTGACATTTATAGCTGTGCCTAAAAGCCTAGACAAGCACACAAAAAACAACAACAAAAAGCAAACAAACAACAACAGCACCCCAGGGGGATGGGACCCGTTAACCTTGGATGGCAACTCATCTAAGAGAAGAAAAACTCTGACATTTAACCCCGGAGATGGTGTCCCGTAGGTGTTATTATATTGACACAATGAAAATTCCGACAACTCCTGCGATGTAGAGCGCATGAGAGCACAGTGAGACACAAGAAACACCGATGGTGATCCACCGAATCCTGGTCTATTTCCAGTCGTCTTGACTAAGTCTTGCCATTGGAACAAATGGGCACGGACGAGAGAGTGGGGCTGATGAAGGGAGCAACTCTCCCTCACTTGAAACAAAATACAGCTCTAGTCAATGCTATTACACCGATGTAGGACACATGTGTCATTGGATCATAAAAAGATTGGAGGCGATTCTACTTTTCCTTGATTACGAGCTTTCTCTGGGCGTCAGTGAGACATTTACTCTCTGAGGATGGAGCTCCAACATTGAGTCTGCTTCATCAACTTGTGCAAACCTGATATCTTTATACCTTTGAGTGGATAATTCATTGATTATATTTCTACGAGTATTACTCAATGGAGGTATCACTTAGTTTATCAGGATAGTATGCCAAAAAAGACAGCAGCGGGGATAAAATAAGTATCTATATATTTACATTTTATGCATAACAGTAAGACGCATGTGTCCCATAATTCCTAAAATACATTATCGTGAACAGCATAAGAAGAAAACCAATAATGAGTTCTATTTATAAGCTATAATGCAGAGTTCCTAAAGTTCTTTTAAATAATCAAATATATATAATAATATATTATTAACCACAAGTAATATTTCATTGCAACTCTTAATTCGATAAAATCAAACTATTTTATTTTATTTTCCTCCTCTATTCCACAGCCCAAACAGGCGCTTTAGTAGAATTAATAAATTCACGTAAGTATATGACTTTAGTAAGGAGAAATCGTTTTTAAAATGTATTATAGTTTTCGGAGGTATAATGTGCGGAGGTATTATGTGCAAAATTTCCTTTTTTACCTGTGAACTTACAAAATATTATTTTACTATTAACAATGACTTTTTGAGGCCCCCTACCACTTTTCGGTTGTGTCCCCTCTGTATTCATAGTTGATAGTTCATTTTTTCCCTCATATTATAACTTTGGGTCCCTTAAATAGTCGAGGGCCCCCCCCCACCCCCACACACACACAGCCACAAGGGTTGCAGGACCAACGCCGCGGCTCTGATCGCCATGCAAGTTTGACCACATAAGGCTGATTCTTGTGTGTCTTCTATTCTCACAGAGATAGCAGAGGCAGATTGGTTTCTACCTACAGCCTGTTTGCTGACCTGAGCATCACAACAGGGTAACCTCATTTTTACCATTTCTTTCCACAACACATGGTCATTTGCACGTGATTAATTAGTAATAATGTACGAACACATCGTACTGTGTTTACACGAGAGAACCTCTGTCTCCACCTTGAGATTATTAAAAATAAGTTAAGTCTTGCATTCTCTACATTTAGATTATCATAACCCAGGTAAGTCTTACAGTCTCTACATTTGGATTATCATACTACAGATAAGTCTTAGAGTCTCTACATTTGGGTTATAATAATACAGATAAGTCTTAGAGTCTCTACATTTGGACTATCATAAGCAAGATAACTCTTACATTAAAAGTCTCTACTTCATTTAATCTAGATAAGTTTTACAGTCTCTAAATTTAGATTATCATAATCCAGATAAGTTTTACAGTTTCTACATTTAGATTAATCATAATCAAGATAAGTCTGAAGAAATATACACAGGTTAGAGCAAAAACTGAAGAAGGACAATACAAAAATGTTTAGTGTGACTGTTCAATGTGATCATTCCATGAAAACTTAATAGTGAAAAAGATTATTTGTACTTTTTGTCATTTGGCCTCCTTTCTCTTTATTACAAGATTATTATCACACTCCTAAATTATGTCATATAAACATAGTTGCACTAATGTTTAGGTTATTTAAGGGAGAACAAGTTATTGCATACAAAAGATTTATCTGAACTTTTAAAGTTGTTTCTTGGTTTCCAGCATTGATAGTGGATTTTCAGTTTTATATAGGCCTATATTTTGTTAATCTTGCTACTGACACCTTAGTGAAAAAGTGAAGTCTCACTTCCACAATCATTAGTAGACCAAACACTTATTTTTAAAAAATATATAAATCACCCAGAGAGGTGTTATCTAGCTGCACAACTTAATCATTCACACGTTGGATATATTCAAATTAAGAAGTATTGACAGAATCTTTGTCAATTTTTACTTACCATTACCCCAATTATTTTTAAATGCACCAAGAGACACCTCAGGGCAAAGAGGATAGGTTGTATTTTAAAACTAGATAACTTTGTTGTAGAAAGGATGATGTGGGTAATGCAAATGTGATGGGTTGTGATGAGAGATAAAAAAACTAATGGTGATATATCAAAAACTGGTTTCACGTTTCAACATAGAACACACCAGTTAAGGCACACATAATTATATTAAGAGTACACAAAATATGTGTAATGTTTAAATATTAATATGTATCATTATTTTTTAGTTTAAATCTCAATTTTTATCCTTCCTTCTTTGTTTAAATCTCAGTATGTATCCTTCATTCTCTATTTAAATCTCAATATGTTAAGTTTTCTTTGTTTTAATCTCAGTATGTATCCTTCATTCTCTCTTTAAATCTCAAAGTGTAAATTTTTCTTTGTTTAAATCTCAATATGTTAATTTTTCTTTGTTTAAATCTCAATATGTTAATTTTTCTTTGTTTAAATCTCAGTATGTATCCTTCATTCTCTCTTTAAAACTCAATATGTAAATTTTACTCTCTTTAAATCTCAGTATTTATCCTTCATTCTCTCTTTCAGTCTCAATATGTTAATTTTTCTTTGTTTAAATCGCAGTATGTATCCTTCATTCTCTCTTTAAATCTCAATATGTTAATTTTACTCTCTTTAAATCTCAGTATTTATCCTTCATTCTCTCTTTAAGTCTCAATATGTTAATTTTTCTTTGTTTAAATCTCAGTATGTATCCTTCATTCTCTCTTTAAGTCTCAATATGTTAATTTTACTCTCTTTAAATCTCTGCATGTATCATTATACTTTCTTTTTAAAAATTGAAGTATGTATACTTCTTATCTGTGTTTAAATCTCAGTGTGTTTCCTTTTCTGTGTTCAAATGTCTATACCCGGCATTCTTTTTTTGTTTCAATCTCAGTATGAATTTTTACTTCTTTGTTTAAATCTCAATATGTATCATTATTTCTTTATTTAAATCTCAGTAATTATTCCTATTTCTTTGTTTAAATCTAATTATGCATTCTTTTTTCTTTGTGTACATCTCAATATGTATCATTCTTTCTTTGCTTCAATCTCAATATGCATCATTCTTTCTTTGCTTCAATCTCAATATGTATCATTATTCCTTTATTTAAATCTCAGTATGTATCATTCGTTCTTTGTCTAGAGGCTCTAGTGAAGCATCGGACTCTACCAAGTAAGTGTTGATCATATTTTAGACTAACTGAATGGAATAGATGAATGTGTTGATTAAATTAGTGAATAAGCCACAATGACTGTCCTCTATTTGCTCTGTTTTATCATTTATTGTTATTTCAGCGATGATCTCACTCTTGTTTGCTTTATCGAATTCCACTGACTGATTAGTCTATGCTAGTCTTTGACATATAACTCAATGCCAAATTCATATCAGTTTGGACTGTTATAATGACACTTTGTGTCATTTTTAAATAGAGGATATTGTTCTTGAAATGAGCATACTTTTCAACGTTCAGCTACACTAAAACTAAGTTTTAAGTATGCTAAGATCACTGACTGTTTTGTCACTTGCATTTCTTGCATTTCGATAGGAGGACACGAGATTACTACCAGCCAGGATCAAGGTCAGTTATCAACATTCAATCTTTTGCTCCTTTTGTTTATAGAAAACTTGTAACATGCATGTGCATAAATTATGTAATCACTTATGTGGGGCATTGAATGGTAGAGGATATCTGGTCGAGCCTTTGCTTGGCGACATCTACCTGGTTAACTTAACATGGTATGCATAACTATGATGAAATATTTGACTATAGAGTGTTTGAGGCTTGTGTAGTACTTTATGTGTCGCTGTTTTGGCATGCATTTTCCGCTATTTGTAGTGGCGTGTATAGTCCACATGTTAATTGAACTTAGAAAATACATTTAAAAAACTGTTTTGCCAAATACTGGAGGAGACTTTGTTTCTTTTTGTGTTTCTTATTTCTTTCCTTATCTTTTACAGTGCAATGCCCTCACTACGTCGGACAGTGTCGGCTCCTTACGGGTGGGTCTTTCATTTCCTAAAATAATGATACATAAATTATATAATTACACACAATTTTAATATTTTTGATAATGTAGTACATGTAATGAGTCCCACTAAAGACGTATAAGGTAACACGTCACGTGGCAACTAAACACCAAACCAAGGGGTGATAACAGATCACCAAACCAAGGGACGATAACCTAACACCAAACCAAGGGATGATAAAAGTGCTCATTAAGTGGTGTTTTGTTTCTTTGTTTTTTTTTAAACTTTTGTTTTGAGCATACAATTATTGATCTAATGGAACATATATATGTATATGTACTGGGGTGTCTATTTCTTTTATTTCAGTCTACCGCAAATGGAATCATCGTAAGTAGATTTAAATAATTTTACTGACTATTCATTGTTAGAATCTGCTCTCAACGTATAATTATTGCGGTTCTAGGATTCGGCAAGCCTATAGTTGCTCTCCAGATTTCATAACCATGCTCCGATGTCTAATAGTAGAAGTCATAATGCGAAAGTTTCATGCATTACTTAAGCATAATTTTCTATGAAAACGACACTTATTATTTCAATTTGTATAAACCCGTCTTATAAAAGGCTTGTGGTAGATTATAGGCTAATTAAAAGGCAAATATATAAAAAGAATAGCTATTGAATTTTGCGATATTACCACTTATTGAGATAAACAATTATTAAGACGGATCAATTTTTTTTATAATGGCGCCACGCTTCCTCTTAAAAAGAATTTAAGTGCAATATATATTATATTAGTCTCCATAGTTATAGTATATTATGTATTGCTGATTAATATGTCTTCATACAGAATCATTCATGTTAGTCAATGAACTACTTAGACTCCCTATATATGTTAGTCGCATATCGTTACCTCCACTACATATCATTTTTTTTTTTAAGGGTTGATCCATCTTCTCTGACCAGGTAAGTTATTGGCATATCTCTTAATGGGTTTTATAATATTTTTAAGTGGGTTGTTGGGGTTGTTTAATGCATATCTTTAAATTGATACATTGCTTCCTAATAAAATAATTAAATATTTCTACGGTAAAACGATCCCTGATTGTCCAGACATTTTATTTCATTGTAAATGTATTTACTTTAGTTATTTTGGATTTTAAAATAGTTAAACAATAACAGTTTACATCACAAAATAATAATCTGATTATTTGAAATGTTGTGAATACAGTGAATATATTATTGCCGTCTTCTTCTTCTTCTTAGCATGTGACGCTATATACTAGTTGGGGATAGGTCCTGGGTTATATTCTTTATGGTTCTTTCTATTTTTTTTTTGTATCAGGGTAACTTGGCCAAGTGATCCGCAATCTCACGCTTTTTGCTTTCCTGTGGATTCTATCCGAGAGTATGTAACACGCTTTTTGATCTTAGCTTTGTCTCAGGGTGGTATATCTATCTCCAGTATGTTGTGATACACAGAATGAAGCTAATGTAATTGATTTCGAAGATGTTTTCGAAACAATCGATATTTGATATAGTTTCAAAAAGGGGCTGTTTCTAGTTGTTTGGTACCGTTATGCAGTGTGTCTTGTAGTCAAGAATAGTATGCTTGAATTGTATTTCAGTTTTGATCTTGCTTTTCTTAGATATCCATGTATTTGTATGTTTTAAATGCATCTCTTTTTCTCTCTGTAATATTGTCGTGTCGTAAATGTGTAAGCCACCAAACTTGTTTTTAATTGTATTTCAATTATTTGACCCCCCCCCCCTCCTATTTTGTGTGGCACCTATTATTTCATAAGGTAAAATTTTAATATTTTCTGTGTTAACCTAAACATTTATTACGTTAATGTTTCATTTTATAAGATTTAAATATTTTACACTTATTTTTTCATCACTGTGGATCCCGTAAGATTCCTTTGTGATATTCTTCAGTTGAGTCAACATTTTCCAATGACTACATTATTCTGAGGTGCCACATCGGCTCTATAACAGGCTATCACATCAATAAGAGAGTCCTCACATTGTTTGCATGTCTACTGTTTTGTGTGAGAACATACTTTCAACCAAATAGAAAATTTGTTGCTAAGAAAAAGTATGCACATATTTCTCCATTCCCAGTTATTCATATTTATTATTCCCGTTTTAAGTTAGCGTTTACATTCCATTTCTCCCCACAGTGTTTTTCTAGTCTGTATTATTGTCTCCATCTTTAGCATTTAAGAATCCTGTTTCAATGTGTATGCATCGCATTTAAACTTTTCTTTGACTCCTACCAGTCACTATAGAATTCATCCCTCATGCCGGATTGCTTCCTTCCCTCAGTCGGTTAATAGAATTTTAAGTGTATAACATTGAATAAAAGATATTTATTAAATGTTCTAAAGTAAATGTTGCCCCGCAGTGTTTGTTTTCCCTTCTTTTGTACCCCATTCTAGGTTGCCCCCATTCTAGCGTATATATAGATCAAACAGTGTTAATGCAAAAAAACTCGCTAAGCTGGACCAAAAGTCTTGATGGTCTCACTAGTTAACGATTTTCTTAAACTCCCAAATTGTTCAGTGATATTTACTTATAATTTTGTATCGTCTTGCCTTTTTAATACTTTGGATTTTCATAATGGCTTCTTATGTACATTTTGTCATTTTAATTTGGTTTTCTCATTTTGCATTGTTGCATTGTCTCTTTTTTGTTTCACTTATGCATCATTCTCTTTGCACAACTTCAACCTATATGAACTAGTACTAGTGTCTCGTCGACAAGTCATAGATATAAAGATTTTTTTTTTTTTAAATCTTCAGTTATTATTACCCGCTACTGCGTTTAGAGAAACTTATTTAGAGTCTAGTTACACATAACAGAGAACCTAATGAATATGAAATATCATTCAGGAAACAAATATGACACGAAGCTAAAGGCGAGAAATCGTGTAATAAGTGTTAGTTGTTATTACAATTAAATAAAAAGATATCCAATAAACCCTTGAATTTTGACTGCTAACGAATTAAGAAATCGAAAAATCCTTAATCAAAAACTCTTGTGACGAGCTCTGATTAACTGCTTTCCCAAGACACTGTTTCCCGGGTTTTCTACTGACCTGACGTGAGCGTGGCGTGTTAGTCACTATGGGTTAGTATCCCTTAAGGGTGTTGGATGTTGCCTTCGTCAACCATGACCATCGGAGTACCCATGGGGTCAACCATTAAGTACGTCACGCTCTGTAGTGGGTTTAAGAAATTGAGACGGTTTGTGAGGGGGGGGGGGGGGAGCGTGTGCACCGTCACATATTTTAATTACTCTTTTATCGTACACATAAAACCTGAAATTAACAGAGATGTTTACCTTCCTGTTGTGATGGATGTATTGTGACCGAAGATGTCAGTTTTAAACATTCAATTGTTTAATAATAAAGTGTGTTTTTTAAATTCAATTTTAAATTTCTAAAACATTTGTTTAGTTTGAAATTGTGACGTTCTCACAATTTCGTCAGTAAAGATGTATGACCTATTAGACTATACCAATTGTTACGCAAATGTTCTCACAATTTCGTCAGTAAAGATGTATGACCTATTAGACTATACCAATTGTTACGCAAAGGTTCTCACAATTTCGTCAGTAAAGATGTATGACCTATTAGACTATACCAATTGTTACCTTCATAATGAAATAAAGCAATGTTCATCAGTATTGGAAATAGGACCAGAAGCAGTTTCATCAACAATCCAACAACGTCAACTCTGTACTGTCACCTCTTACATCTCATCTATCGATCGTTCTGGATCATCATACCAACTGTTTCTAAAATTTTTATTGTCCACTCACTTACACAAACGCCATTCCATACCTACACTTTGTCTATATTCCAGAAACCAATATGGCGCATTACGTCCCAGTTTGGGTAGAAGGTGAGTCCTATTATTCACATTCTAAATAGGTTGATTACGCTTTGTCCAATTCATTAAGACTTTGCTTGGTAATCGGGCAACTGTTAATTAATTCAGGTTATTTCGTATTTGTCTTTGTGCAATAGTAGTTCATTATATGGGTGTCTTCATAAGTTGAATGGAGCTTCTTATGTTAAGCCGAAAATGATAAAATATCCTAGTTTTTTTTTTATATTCTTATCAATGTTATTCCTTTCTATGATTAGAGTTTCTTATAAGGATTTTCTCCTGACACGTTTCGGGATTTTCTCCTGACATGCTTCGGAATTGTTTTTCCTGACATTGTGTGATTTCTCCCCATATTTTATAACATCAGTCATGGTAGAGATATTCCTGCATCATTATCTTATTTCCTATTGTATTTAACTTCACGCATGAATTTCTCTGCACTCTTTCTTTTTTTTTGTTGTAACTATATGATAGTAACTATGCTTTGTGCTTTTATATGCATTTCAATATTTTTAGTTTTATAAATGTTCTCTTTATTGTTAAAAGAGTTCTATCCATTTGAGTTAGATAAGTTCTATAACTGTGTCTTTCTCCTGTTGTTGGTACTTTTTTTTACACAAATAAACCCAATGCACAACTTACCATTCTTAAATTCTTAGTTCTCTAACATTAAAAAGCAAAACAGGACCTATATTATTCTCTATCCCACAGTTACAGTTATTAAATGGCACAGTGGTCTATATCCTGTAAATATGGCAAATCAAGTCAAGTAATATAACGTAATGCCATTATTGGCCTTATTCTGACCTCTGTCAATATATAAAATCTGATTTCTCGTCTTTATAGTAACTTGTCATATTATCCCGAAAGACGCGGACAAATACATGTTTGATTTTGGTTTTCATTAGCTTAGTTCTGTGGTGCCGTCAGTGAAACGAAAAAACTATTTAAAAATAAAAGAATTGAAAAAACAAATTTGTGTACAGAGAGAGCCTGGTATGAGTTTTTATTTTAAAGATCATCTATACACTGGATTAGTTTTGCAAAAGTTTCTATATAAACTTAAAATAACAGTTGTATTGCGCAAAGATCTGACATCCATATGCTGACGTCTACAGTAAAATCGTGTCTGTCATTGCAAAACTTAGCAATATCACTATTGGTG